AAAAGTATTATCGCATTACTAGATCGATCAGTATGATGGAATGAAAATTGGATGTTTTGGCTGAAATAACTGTTTAATATAATATTAAAAAAAATAGTATTTCGTCAGGAACGTTTTTTCCCGACTAGCCCCTCATCGCAACATAAAAAATCTTTGTTTCAAAAATTGCAAACAAAGAAACGTGCAAGTACCTATAACACTGCAATAGAAGTTTTTGCGTTGAAAATGAAAAAAAATCTGTTCGGAGAGAGTGCGGGGTCTGAACACTAGCTCTTTGTCTCTTAACCTCTTAACCCACGACCCACCTTTCGCTGGTATTATTATGTGACGAGCCGCTGATTCCATACAAATACATATTACAATGGCTGTTATCCACGAATCACGAATAATGCACTGCACTTAAAGATGAGCGATATATGCATATGTGTGTGTACTATGTAGCCATATAGGTATAAATTATAATATTATATATATAGCTGCAGCGCCGAGACACTCGATTTTGCGAGTTTTTAAAATGCCATTCGACCTAATGATTTTTCGTAAGTTTATAAGGATTGCGCTTAAGACAGTAATCCGTTGCTACTAATGTCTAGTTCGTATACTATAGTAAGTAACAATACAAAATATAAGTAATAACATACTATTATACGAATCGTCGTGTTACGCTGGAACCATATATAAATTATAAACCATAGTATTATCTAAACAATATACGTATATAAAGTAATATTATAGTATAGTGTCGTAGTGAAGAGTAGGTATCTATATATTTAGATAAAGTACATTTCAACACTTTTGTGCATATTATTGCATATTATTATCATATATATTATATGTCGAACTCGACTCTCAAGGTTAAGTCAAAAATATTAAACGTTCGATGTTGTACATAGTATTTTGATAAACGATAATATATAGTGTAACATAAATTATATATTTTTTCAATAACAAAACAACAGCTATAGTAAACAATAAAGCTATTATTGGTATTTAAAATATCTTTTAAATCACGCTCCGCCGTACATTATTTACTTAATTGCCGTAATCATAATACTATTTCGATACCATAATGGTGGTACTCGCGGTGGTGCGTAGGAAAAAAATTGATATGTTTTAATTTTTTTAGTGGACTCATCGAAAGTTATTGTACACTGTGTGTACACATTGTCATATTATAATCGTAAAAGCAACTATTAAGTATCGATTAAAAAAAGGAACAAAAAAATGTAAGTGTATAAAAATATAACATTTACCGGAAACGAATAAATAATAATTGGTTCGTTCTGGTTTTCTCTCATATGTTTACGTAGTAGGTACTGTAGTAGATACTAGTATGTACCATTGTACCTATATTATGTTATCGTATAAACGTACGTTACAAGCCCAATTTTTTTACCTCATAACATGATGGGAATTGCTAAATGTGGATTTTCGTCTTCATTCGATCAAATCGTTTTAGATTCTGAGTGGAGCGATGAATGTATTGATTTTACAATTATGTGTTTTTTTTTGGGTCTCATTACCTTTTAGGACAGTAAAAATGCTTAAATTGGGGGTCAAAATTAAAAATTCCTAATAGTTTTCGAAAGCGTAGGGAAAATTAATAGAAATATTAAGGAAAAATACGGGAATTTTTATTCAAAATCGGTTTTCGACAAAATCGATTTTGGTTTTGATGACTGGATGAATGACCGTATAAATGCATGCAATTTTCAACTTTGTTTGTATTAGTATTTTATATACACGATAAAATTATCAACAAATATTGATTCGTTTTGAACTGTTTAAGGTCATTTTCAGTTTTCAAATTTTTTATTTTTTTTATTTCTAGAATGTCAATAAAATTGTATTTGTTGGGTAAAAAAGCTTGAAAATTTAATGCAAGGATCTTAATATATTGTTACAATAACATTTGAAAAATATTAAAAATCCATTCCCGATTTTTTTTAATGAGCATTAATAGTTCAAATTTTGACAAAAGGCGTAAAAATCACGAAAATATGCAAATTATTTAGTTAGAAATTCTTAAACATTTTCTTTTTAAATCTAAGATTTTAAAATGTAATATAAGATTCCTTATGAGGTTATCTACCTTTATCAAAAATTACAAATAAGAAAGTCAAATTTAATTTTTATGAGTGTTAGAATTTCAAATTTTACAACATTTGATATCCACTCAATTTCCCATGTAGCGATTTTCTTATTTTGTTGTAATTCAAAAATCTATAACTGTAGATAGATGAAAATTTTACTGAATGTTTATTTTATCAATTCTTATAGTTGATAAAATGTTCAAAATTATTGCTTTGTTTTGAGCTTTTTACGGACAATTTCATATTTCAATTTTTTTTTTCTATGAACATCAATAAAGTTTTATACCTAGACTGACATACCGTCTCCGCTCAGAATTGTTTTTCATATACAATGATATTAGGTATATCATTGAATTCAAATTTAATACCATCCATTATACAGTGACCCACTATTGTAACCTACTGTACAGCAGAGCACCTTTTTTTATAGTTATTTTATGTTCAAATTTGCAGGAAATTATAATATATAACCAAGAATAACGATTTTAGTTATTTTGCAGATATTTTATAATATTAATTCAACTTACCAGCTTACCCTATTATAATAATAAGTAATAAAAATATAAATATAATGCAAAATATTCACACTAACAAACAGTCACCACTCAACGCTCAAAATCGTTTTTCCCGTATGATATTATACCTATCATATTGAATTCAAATTTAATACTATATTAATTTAAATTACCCAACCCATAGGCGGCTTGTATCTAAATCAATAAGGAATATTTTTGGGGAGGCTTTATCGTAGTCAGGGGGACTAAGCCCCCCTCCCCTATCAGTTATTGTTAAAAAATCCTAAATTCAACTGTTCCGTGAATCAGAAGAAACCGTAAACATTCTGAAAGTCCCGAGCACCGTTCACATCCCGATTCCCGGGTAACTATAAAAATAAATAAATATCCTATAATCAATTACTTTAGAGAGGCCATTCATCTGGATTTTCTGAGGTGTTAGTGGTGTTACTGTGTGAATGTCTCGGAATTTAACTTGAGTAAAATAGGTTTTAATATTTATTTTTTTTTGGTTGATAAATGTTTATCGAACATTTTTTTCGCAGTAATGCAATCACACATAAACTCGCATAATATAATACAATTACCACATAAAAAAATGGTAAAATTAAGTAAAATAATGGTTATAGGTCAAGTAAGAATTCGTTGTCCCGGGTTTCATAAAATGTAATCTGGCCACCCTATAATATGTACTTTGTCTTGCGCGGTCGCTGTCATTCGTTCAGTTCATTGTGAAACCCCAAAAAATATTTGAGGGTCTCGACGTTTTCTCTCCCTACTACCTTCGCTACTGCGCACATATTTACTTCCCCAGATATGGCACCATCTTTTTCGTGACATTGCCATGGTTACAATCACTCTTAATTTACTCCTTAAAATGTTTCCCATATAAACGCATCTAACTTATATAGATATGACATTTAAATTATTTGATCGTCCTCTCCCGTCTCGAGTTCTTCACTAGGTATCGTTTTTTCTCGTGTACCTATACCTTTTCTTGGGTAATACTTCTTCCTATTTTCAATGATTTATTTCATTGATAAATCTGAGATCGAGAAAAAAGACGATAATACCTATGTATAACGGCGTGACCCGTATTTTGTATCAAATATCATATTATACTCATCGTGCGGTCTATACCGCGGAATCCGCATACGACATATCGTCGGCCTAATTCGCAAAAGTCGTATCTCCATTTTTTTGTCATTTTGGGATTATTTACTCATAAAATAAAGAAAAAAAAACTGCGTCTGTTGATACCACGATTAAAGACATATCTTTAATCGTGGTTGATACAATCAAATTTCCGATTTCATAATATTATCCTCCATGAAATTGATAATTAGAAATCGTCGTATCTTCAATTAATAATATGGCCGTAAAACGTTTTTTTCTTCTCCTGAACAATTTGTAATTTTGGACATACGACCTTTGCGAATTAGGCCGACGATATGCATTTCATTGCGCGCGACAGACGTATTGAAAAATTGAAAAAAAATTAACGCCGCCTCGCCGAAAATAAAAAAAATACGGAGCGATATTTTCGAAGGGGTTCTCTCATCCATGACCGTTCGTCGTTTTAGCGGAGTGGCGCATATTTATTTTGTCCGCTCGTTCCCGTCCGTCCAATCCAATCACAGCTAACCGTACAACAACGCAAAAACGGGTACGTGCGGGATAACGCGGATGTCAGCCGTTTCGCATTACGACGAGGCGGCGGAGGGCGACGGTTGCGAATAATATTATGTGATGTAATAATAATAATAATAACATACACTGAAACCAATTTGTGTTGTTTGGCCGAGTTCAATTCGCGCAAGCGTTGTCCGCGGGGCAGGGACGACGGCGCGGCGCGCAGAGGTCGCGTAATTAAGTTCAATTGACGGTCCGCGCGCGCGACCGTATAATATATTATAACAATAATTGACGATCGCGGACGGAAATGTTCAATAATAACATTATGCATATGGAAAACAACCTACGAATATTGTAACGGACATTTTTTTTTTCAAACGGTAAACTCATATTCGACATAATAATACGATAAAAATTAAATAACGATATTAATATAGGCATTTATTAGGTAAGTAATATTGATACAGAGGTAAAAATAATTAATACAATTTCTTTTTTTTTTTATTATTAAAAAAAAACCACGCAAAACTTTCATCTCGTTGTTATAATATTATGTTTTATAGTGGTGTCTGATGTCAATCATATCAATTTTAGATTTTTGGTAAGAAATAATATGGTCACGTGTATACAAATCGTGGTTGTCGACAGCGTTACAAGTACAATATACATACATGGTTTTAAAGGTAATACTCGTTTCCGATTGGGGAACATTCGTGTAAAGTACAGTTGGCAGAGTTGAGTGGCGCCCGTCGACTTTTTAGACGTTCAAATCGTTCCTAAATGACTCTTCGAGCGTCTGTTGGTGCGTCGTTGTGCCTTCGACGTACGGTTGCTGCTGTTGTTGCGATGGCGGCAGTCCTCCCGCGATCACCGTCGCGCTGACCATTGGTTCCTGCTGCTGATTGGCGGCCGAATTTTCGTTCTGCTAATGAACGTATAATCAAACAAATCAAAAATTTAGTACGTTTTGAGGTCAAAACAGGGACAAAAACAGTCGAACAATTGAAAACGCCTTTACTACGTTCGGCAAATAAGTGTTGTTATAAATTATTGTCAAATTAATTGATTCCAACCGCAACGCGTAGGACATTGAATATAAAATTAATTCGTCCGAATGTAATAGGTCAAAAACGGTTCTAGATTATATTTATACCTACACGACTACACTCGGTTATTTATATAAAAACATACAAATATATATTCAAGTTTTCAACAAATTTTGATGGAACGTCTGCTAACGATTTATTTGAGAATGACAACATTAAGCGAATATATTAATACTGTATTTACATCACGGTTTTGAACATGAGATATTGCATATCCTCGGCTTCATTCGAAACTATGGTAAGTCAAAAATGGTAAATTTACTGGGGGAAAAAACGTTTCGACCGTTTCGTCGGCCTAATTTCTCTAACTTGCAATGGTATCTCCATCATTTATTACAATGATAATATGGAGATTCGACTTTTTCTTAGGTCTTAAAATCATTACATCGGAGATACGACGATTTCTAATTATCAATTTTATGAAGGATAAAATCATACAATTTCAGTTACGACTTTATCATACGATGCGGTCTTTTTTTCTTAAGAGGACGTCACGTGTTGTCTCGGTCTTACACACGTACGACATAGACAAAACTCGTTTACGCAGTCAATTTTGGTGTTAGAATAAAAACACCTATTACGAAATTAAAAGATTATAATATTTCGGAGGGCAAGACGTTCAGTTATTTTTTTTAAATTAAATTATTGAAAAGTTAAAGGTATTTTAAAAACATTGACATTTTTGCTATTTCTAAACGATATAACTAACGTTATATTATCTATAATAGAAAAAATGCAACGAATTGCCCTCAGAAATATTGCCATATTTTTACTCAAGAACCAAAATTGAGCGAGTTCTACTCAGACTGCGTAAACGCGTTTTTTCTATATCCTACGTGGGTAAGACGGAGACAATACATGCGGGTGTGACGTCCTCTTAATCTCTTAATTTTCATCACAAATAATCCCAAAAAAAAAAAAAAAAAAAAAATGGAGTTACGCCCTTTGCGACTTAATAGCAAATGTATACGAACATTGTTTTATCTTAAAAAATGTGAATTGATTGATGTGTTTATATACTTAGGTAATGTTTTGTATAAAAGAAGTGTAAGTAATATACAATATATCGATGGCGTAGCGCAGAAGTGTGATAAGTGACATTTTTTTGAAAAATGAGTTAAGTGCATAATCAATTTAATCATACAATTCTGCACATTATGCCCAAACGTTGTAAGTGAATAGTTCATTATTTACTCCGATAGACGTCGTACAGTTCGTTACATTTTTGAATTTGTTATGACATCTCAAACTTAGAAATCGTTCTCCTGAACAATTACGAAAATGTCACTTATCACACTTGTGCGCTACGCCATCGATATATTATATATTATATAGGTACGCATTTGCGCGTTATTAACCAGTCATAAATTATGTGTTATATTATATTTGTATAATTTATAAATGGTATAAGTACATATTATAGATTTCTTGAGTGAAGAGTGTTTTTCATAAATATACAAGTAAACAACAAATTTATAAATTAATATATCGGCCACCCGGAATATATTATTAACTGAATAGCTAATAGGTATCTAAATAATTCAACACGCAAAATACGTAACATGAGAGGAGTACCTACTCTAACTTAAGAATAATAATTCGTATCATAATTTCATGAAAAGTGGGGGGGAGCAAAAAAATAGCCATAATGACTTATTGACTAATAATATAATTACTTAATAATTATTAATAATCGTATTGATATCAAAGCATAATATAATAATATAATGCTTAATATTGAGTGTCTTACGTTAAATATACCACCCTATAGATGTAGGTACCTATATCTATATTAATTTAACCTACAAACAAATTTGAAGAAATTGTCCCTCCCAATTAAAATGTCTGGCTTCATCACTACTGCATGGACAACGATGGTCGTATGTGCCTACGATTTATTTTAACATAACAAAATTATATTACAATATAAACATTTTGCTGAACTCCAATCCTGCACGATTGGTAATATTAATATTACCTATAACATCGAATAAATACAAATTTATAATATACGGGCGACCGGACCAACGGTCTTCTAGTTCATTATATTACATTAAAATATATTTTAGCCTATAGGTGGTATGCTGGTATCTATTCCTACAATAATATATATTTGGCTAACAATAATTTCGAAATTCCCAACACGTATTTGGTAAATTCTAGTGTGTCTGCTACAGACTTCAGGTATGCTATAATTGAGTAGCTATATAACTTATACACAGCAAATATACCAAAATACAAATTGAGTCGATTCAGAATGTACATTGTAAAATATTCAAAATATTTTTTCAACGAGGGGGATTGTTGTCCCATTTGTGTTGAATATTAATATATATCTCAATAACTGCGTCTGAGTAATAATAATACAGAATATAATATGTTCAAACTAAATAGGTGTAGGTATATAAAAGGTTTACATATTTTTCTTTTTTTAAAAAAGAAGCAATAACAAAAATAAAAACCCAACATCTGGCCATCTACACATTACCTCATAGGCGCAATTAGAGATTACATTGAGGGGGGGGGGGGGTAAATTATGTACCAAACACGAAATTCTGAGGTTCATTATTTGTAATCTGGGGGGGGGGTCTATGGAAATAACCTAACCCCTCATCACGTAAAATATATAATAGATGCATAAATGATTTTGTATATTGTACATATTTTATATTATGTACACATTTAAAGGAAATACAGCCTTTGTAAAAAGAGAACGCAATATGGCGATATCCTCATAAAAAGTAAAAACTATGGAACGAAAATAATATTCGTCATTCGTATTTAACAATAACTTAAATATACAAGTACCTACAAAATCTGTAAACTATAATATTAATATTATTGTATATATATACAACTAATAACTATATGATGGGCTTTTATTTTAATAAAAAACTATTATAGTACTACGATCCCGCTGCAGGAGTTTATACGCATCAAATCATATGCTCGATTAGTATACTACAATACTATATTATTTATGAGGCTATCTTAATATAGGTAGATATATAGAATTTAATTGGTTCAAATATGTTTGAATTTTAAAAAAAAATGTTTGAAGACACGAAATTATAAAAATATAATTTGTTGTTTTTAATAAAATCTATATATAATATTTTATTTTATTTGTGAAAATGTAAAGACTAAAGACAACAAAATTAAAACAAAATAATGTTTGTGTTTTTAAAAACAATTTAGATAGTTCTGTCAAAGATGGCGAGGTTGAGTTTTTGTTTAATATTTTACCATGTAGGTACAGTAGGTATATCATATTTATTATAATAGTATACCTACTTTTATAAAACCATAAAAACAGACTAATTAAGTTAAGGGGATTCGATCCGGTGATTTAATAAGAGGTCGTGTATAGGCAATTCGATGTATTATAGTCGTTTCGCAGTGTGTTTGTGTGCGAAGTAAATGATCATTAGTGTGCGTAGATATACGTTCGGAATCAGTGGTTCGCACCCGCATGCACATGTCACATAATAAAATATTTGTTCCAACGAGAAACTAATTTCAATCAATTGAGACCTAAAAGCCTGACAAAAATACGATAACTTAGAATGATCGGATTTTAGTTCTGTAAACATATTTGAATTCATCGTTCTTTTTTCTAGGTTATTGTGGGAGTCGATTTTTGAATAACTGTTTAACTTTTTAAAGAAAGACACAAACAATTTTCAAAAATTGAGAAATCGAAATATGATTTAACGTGAATTCTAAAAAAAATATCGAAAATTGATTCCCACAATAACCTAGGAAAATTGTCAATGAACTCGAAACTTTTTACAGAATTGAAATCTGATAATTCTAAGTAGGCGTATTTTTGTCAGGCTTTTAGGTCTAAATCATGAAATAAATACGCTGGATCGAATCCCCTTAATGTCAAACGTTAAATAAAAATCATCCTTTATTTTGTATATTATAAAGGTTAGCAGCTCTGGAACACATGCTTGCGCTATTCAAGAGACTAATATAATAATAAATAAAAAGTCGATTCAATTTAATTAAATCGATTGAAATCAACACCAGTTACTGACATATTAGGGTGGGACATTGGGTTATCACGTTCTTGAGTTCTCCCATAAGCCGCTTTAAGAAAACACAACCCCACATAAGCTATGTATAAGATAAGAGTGTGTGTGCGTGTCAGTATGTAAATAAAAATAAATTATGATTGAAAATCAAACAAAAAAAGATGCAAGTTGCTCGGATAGAAGCCAGATTTGATTTTTGCCCAAGTCGGATAAATGTCTTTTACTCTATATATATAAATTTTAGATTCTGGGTAGAGCAATAAATGTATTGATTTTACAATAAAGTATTATTATTTTACATCTTGTAGATCTAGAAGTGAATCTAATTAGTACTTAATGGGGTACATAAAAGAAAATTCCCAGTATTTTTCTTAACTGGAAAAGATGAAAAGAAAATTTTGGAAAAGGGGAAGTTTTACACAAAACTACCATTACTTAACGTGTCAGGCCAGTATCGAATTTGGAAGGTACGTTCAGTTAGATATGATTTGATGAGGAGATAGAAGGTTGAAGGAAGAAATGTTTTTAGTTTATGCGTATGAGACCCTCGTGCAAGACTCTATCAAAGTCTTGTGAAATGTCTAAGAAAGCGGTTGTGCAAAATAATTTTTTTTCAAGGGAGAAAGATATTGCACATACTACCCTGTGCACTGCAGTTGACATTTTATGCAACAGTGATGTACTTTATGGAACCTATAGGTAAAGATAATTATATAATGTTATATCTACCAGATATAGCAAACCTTATAGTGCTGTTTTTATCGATCGTTTAGGCATTA